TCTGGCTCCTCTGATGAGAGCTGTCCAGTATGGTTGAACCTCTGGCACAACTCTCATCCTCCTTGGAGCACGCAAGCCCCACAACCACATCAAGGTAGTGCCTCACTGAGGGTTGTTGTTCTTGCTGTTGTTGTCGTTGTTACTATTATTTTCAGGCCTTGAGTGTCATGCTAGTGGCCGTACTCCAAAAATAATGGGGCCGGAAAAGAAAAGAGCAGAGCCAGGACAAAAACCAAATCTGATTTGATTCAAATAATGAAATGCAGTTAATATTATTAATATTTTGTATTTAATAATCTCCCCCTCCATCAGCCCAAAACAGCCGTTGAATGAAGCAAAGCTTGGATGGCGTGGGGGCTACCCAGGCTGCCAGGCAGCTGCCCGAGGCCTTCTGGGCCAGATGGAGATGCTCCAACCATCTCTCTGGACAAGGGGGTTGAAGGGCCCCAGAAGCTGCCCCAGCAGTGGAGCAGCCACCAGTGCAGAGAGCCGTGGTTCTCTTGGGGGTAACCGAGTCTGGTGTTGCTACAGGGTTAGCTTATTGAATGGCTTTCAGTGGCCCTTCCATTGCTATTTTATTCTGTTGCACATGTCATTAATGAGATAGACAGACAGACAGACAGATACATAGCCTTGAATAATTTGTAAACTGCTTTTCCTTTTTGTGCCTTTGAGTCGGTGTTGACTCCTGGTGACCGCCTGGACGAGTCCCTGCAGTTTTCTTGGCAAGGTTTTTCAGAAGTGGCTTGCCCTTGCCTCTTTCCTAGGCTGAGAGGGAGGGACTGGCCCGAGGTGTCCCAGCTGGCTTCGTGCCTAAGGCGGGACTAGAACTCACAGCCTCCCAGTTTCTAGCCTGGAGCTTTAACCACTACAGCAAGCTGGTTCTTATGACTACATTAACCTGTGAAAATTAAGACTGAATCAGCAAACAGCTCCCAGCATTTTGTTCACTAAGATTCCCATCTCACAGAGAATTCAAGGCAACTGCAATGATACTCTTGTGGGATCCTGCAGGATTTCAGACTGGCCCCTCTGTGCTTCAGGTTTCATACAAGGATGCTGAGCAACCCCTACTGAGAAACAAAGCTAAAGGCTATCAAGAATATCTCAGTTATAACTAACCTAACAGTGTGTATGCTACACTGAGTTGTTGTGAGTAGAGTAAATAAAATAAATAACTGCATCTGTTAGGGAAAGTTTCCTTCCTTTCCCTTCCCTTCCTTTCCCAAGTCAGTGCTGACTTTTGGTAACTGTCTGGACAAATCCCTGCAGTCTTCTTGGCAAGGTTTTCAGAAGTGATTTGCCATTGCCTGCTTCATAGGGCTAAGAGGGAGGGACTGCCCAAGGTGTCCCAGCTGGCTTCACGCCTAAGGCGGGACTAGAACTCACAGCCTCCCAGTTTCTAGCCTGGTGCCTTAACCACTACACCACACTGGCTCTCAAAACTGCTTTAGGAACCTGAATTCCTTCCACGTAGAACCTAAATGGCTACCATTACCTTTCCCAACCAGATTCCCTCCAGATGTGTAGGGGCCATGACTCCCAGAATTTCAAGCCAGCAGTTGGGGGGAGGCTCAGTTGGGGGAAGATGGTACTCTCTTCCATCAGGGCACCCAGTGGCAGCTTCTGGTGGGTAACACCTTTTGTGGGATGCCGTGCTGCTCTTATTCTGTCCAATTTGTTACCAGCCCAAGGTGAGCGTGTGCAGATGTGCAGGGAGTGAGCAGGGAAACGTGCACTGTTACAGCCTTGCTGGAGGAGAGCCAGGTTTCCCAACAAAGCTCCACTCAGTCCTGCTCCCAGAGAAATTTCGTTTCTCTCCAAACAACCTGCAGAATTTGCACTCTTTGTCTCTTTTGTTTCTGCTTTTTGTGCTCTAAGATATATTGGCTTTATGACCAGTTCAGATATAACAGAAACCCAGAACGAAGGAGTTCTCAGAGGTCTCCTCATTCAGAACCCAGGCAGGTGAGGCAAGAACTCCTCAGAACTCCATTCAGTTCTGCTTACAGAACAAGGACAGACCATCATAGGCAGCCCAATCCATTATCAGATAGCTCATGGCCTAATTATTCATCATCATCATCATCATCACCATCAGCTGAAACAACTATTCACTTTAGAAAGAACACATTTCGGTGTGGGAGTTCTTAAAATATTTACAGATTGCTCTTAATAGAAGACTATTAATAGTCTTAATAGTCTTATTTAATAGTCTTCTCCAGGCTAAACCATAGTTAAGCATTATGGGCACATGAGTCATGCTGCGTCTTGGGCACATACTTCTCCTTCTATTCCCTCCCCAAAGAACTCTGAAAGTTTTGATTTACTGTAACCCTTAAATTATGATCAGCTCAAGCCAGCCAGAAACAAGCCATAGTTAATGGCTTGTTTATGATCTCTGGTGCACAGCAGAGGAGAGGGGAAAGAGAAGGCTGAGGCTCTTGTTTTGGTTTATGTGGATATATTAAATCATGGCTTAGCATTATCTCTGAAGAAAGCCTTTAGCACTATCAGCGTTCCCAACCTGATACTCTCCAGATGTGAGAGCAATTCTCAATTAACGTAGCCAACAGCTGTGGGAGTTACAATCCTGACACATTTGGTGGGCACTGGGTTGTGTCTTGGTGGCTGCAGCCTGGAAGTTGGTGCAGTGACCATGTTGCCCTGATAGTCTTGGCCCTGTTCTAGGTGCTGTAGGAGCACAGGGAATTCCATTCTCAGCCATCACTTATGTTCACAGGCAGAAGGCCCTTCAGAATATATGCCACACGCTTCTGTGACACAGGGAGAACTTGGATCTTCCCATGCAATTTCAGTATCGATCTGGTGATGAGTATCAGAAGAACTGACACCAGCTTCTGATGCTCATCATCAAACTGATGTTGAAACTATTTCCAGGACCATGAGCCAGTCAAAGGGTGATTACCAGGTGATACACCAGCACAAAACCTCCCCCAGGGGAAGAAGAGTGCCAAAGAACTTCACTGTGACCGGTTCCCCAATGCAGCAGTAGCTGAGCAGGCTCCTCGCAGTGCTATTGCACTCAGGTAAGGAGAGAGAGGAGAGCAGGTCGCAGCACCCACCTGGAAGCTGCCAGCTAGAGCTCAGAAGCACAATCGCATCAGAAAAGAGTTTTCCATAGCCTGCCAATCACCCGCAGGATGCAGGGGGTGCAAGCTTAGTAGTGGGGAATGGAGGAGGAACGGCCTGCCACCAGGCTCACCAGAGCAGTGGTAGAACACCTTGCCCCACCTTTGAGGAACAGCATTTCTGGCTCTGTCAGGGAAGCTGTGGCCCCTGAGTAGGCCACTGTGCCTGACATGTTCCAGAGAATGTGGCTTTGGAGATTTCTGAGAAGACTGGGAATGCATGGAGAAGGATGATGTTTCTTAGACAGTTACACTGGGGATGCCTAAGCTATGTGGCAAGAAGCCAGGGTGGCAGTCAAATGCAGAAGGGTTGGCCTGTTGGGGGCTTCAGAAGTGTAACTCTCCTCTCTCTTTTGGTCTGGTTGAGTTTGCAGCAATGGCCCAAGTTCTGGACTTGGTCCCCTGGCCCCAGGATGCCAGCCCTATCTGTGCAGCGCCTGGCGTTCTAATTCCCCTGGAGCCCAAGAAGATTATGTTAGCTGGAGTGAAGGACCACCTCTACCACCCCTGCTTGCCAACACTGAGGCGCATGGACATGGACACCGTTGCCAACAGGCTCTCAGACGAGCACTCCAGGACCACCACCACTTGCTCCAAAGGTATGAGGCCAGCTGAACTGTTTGGGGAGTAGAGCCAGGGCAGGGACTGAGCACCATCTCTCAGTTGCTACTCTTTGTGCAATTCAATCTGAATGCTAGCAACGGCCTGTGCACTCAGGACCTGAGACCTTGTTCCAGCCGATCAACTATACTTGCACGTGCTAAGCTCTGTGTCTCCCACATCTCCTAAATTAATGCTTCTGCCATACAACTACATCTGTTCTGTCTATAATGGTTTTCCTCAACTTTGTGCTCTGCAGATAGGCTGGATTTCAATCTCCAGCCATCGTACGGTACTCTAATGCCAAACTGACTAGAACCCAATTTGAAGTCTGCCCCAGATTGCCCCACTAAACCTCAGGATTTTTAACAAAATAGGAACAAAAAGCTAAAAAGGTCAATTGTTCTGTGGCCCCTCAAAGGCCCCTTGTTGCAAAAACATTGCTTTGGGTTGGGATCAGTGGAACTCCAGCATGCCTAAAGGCACCTTGTTGGGGAACCTGCAGCTTAGGAGATGCTCTATGGCCTGGAATTCTCTTTGCAGGAGGGTTAGCATCCTAATGGGTGTCTTCCGGGTACAGTCAAAGAAGTCAAAATGGTGGCTGGGACAGCGTGATCAACACACATTAAAACAAGAGGCACTGTTGCGACTGCAGTTTCACTTCTGGGGCTGCACCCTGTGGCCAGTCTGGTCCTGCCCTAAACCAGGAAGATGCTGCAGGGAGCTCCTACTCCAGGCAGATTGGGCTGCATTATCCCCAAGGACCCTCCAGCTCTTCCGTTTGATGATTCTGTGATTGTATTGGAATTCATTACACATTGACATGCCATTCTTTAAATGTGGGGGAAGGGGGGCAAGTCTTAAAAGTTTAGTTAGTGTCCCCCCCTTCTTCTGTCTTTTCGGTAGAACTGCTGGGGGGGGGGGATTTCTTTTCTAAATCTTCTATGGCCTTAAAAATGCTCCATACTAGAGTTCAAATTGTTTGCATTTGTGTAATGCTTTCAAGAACAAGGTTCCTCCCTAACCTCTCTTGTTCATGTTTCCTGAAGAGGATTTTCAGAGAGCGACCTTCACCTTGGCTGGAGTGCCCAGCAAGCGCCTCCCCTCCCTGGTGAGTCGCTTCCAGATGGATCGCTGGCCCCATGGCCCCAAGGGGTACACGCTGGTGGGGGGCGGGAAGCACGGCCCCGGCAGGGCAGTTCAATCGGTCTTTCAGAAAGACCAACCAACAACGAGCCCAAGGTGACTCTGACGCCATCTCAGAGGAGTTTTCGGGGCAACGATAGGAAAGGGATTCGCTGTTTCTGCCTTCTGGATTTTTTTTTAATCTCTCCGTCTGGCCTTCCGCTCGGGATTTCTTCGTGGTCTCTCGTCCGCGTACCAACCAGATTGGACCCTGCATAGTTCCCCCAGATCAGCCAACGTAGCCCAATGCTGCCACCTGCCGTGGGAAGCCCGAACCGGGAATGCACCCAAAGGGCTTCGGAGCCTCCGCTCGCCTCCAGCAGCAAAGGCGGGGGGCGGGCGGGGGGCCTTCCCTTCCACCAGCGCCCCAAACCCTCTTCCCCGCCAGCGGCTGCCTGCAGGGGCGCGATGACCGTATCCTCGCTCAGGGCATGACGGAGCTGGGCAAGTCGCTGACCGCCAGGTACCGAGCGGGGAAGATGGCTCCGCTGCCGCCCAGCACCAACCAGGAGGAGTGGCCCAGCTACACGCGCGCCATGGAGGACTGGTCCCGCTTCGTCTCCGCCGCGGGGGAGTTCAAGCTCCCGAGCCTGAATAGGAAAGGTAGGCCGGCAGGCGGCTCCCCGAGCGTCCGGGGCAGCTGCGCGCTGCGCTCCCGGGGAGGCTCCGCGCCGGCTCTTTGCCAGCCTGGCCGCGGCGCGCGCGCTCCTCCCCCTCTGCGGGAGGCGTCGAGCCCGTTCCCACCGCCGCTTTTCCTGTAGGGGGTCCGCGGAGGAGGCAGCGGCGCAGTCGCCCTGGGAAGGGTGGAAGCCGTTCTCTTCTCCCAGCACTTAAAAAAAGAAACCCGTAGAGGCTTTTTCTAAAGTCTGCTTTGGGCTCCAAGGACTGTTCGAATTAAAGTGCTCTTTCCTGGCGCAGGAACCAGCAGGAACTTTACCGAAGGCACCC